GGCTCGTCTTTTCCTTAACTTCTTCTATGGTGGAACTGACTTGATGAATCTTGACTTTGACGTCTTCGATATGGGATATTATGGCAGCATTGGAATTGGTACTATTGTTAATGTTGAGTTGGGCTTTCCTAATTTCTTCTAGAATACCTGTATTTTCCTTAATGTGTATTTCTATTTTTTTTTTGCCTCTGTACTTCTATAATATCTGCCAAGGTCACCCCGTTGGCAGCACCAAAGTCGAGGCTTACGGATGCAGGCACGGAAGCAGTGGAAGCGGCAGAAGCCGACTGATCCTTATACCTCTCTCTCTCCAATTCAGCCTCCGCCTCCTTAGCGAGACGGTAAAGATTGTCTATGGCGTTCGTTACACCTGTCTTAATATCGCCGCGAAGATTGCGAGAGGGCCATGTAAGACTTGGCGCTACTATTCCACATCCTCGCCTGCTGTGACCTGGGCTTTTCTGTAATGTCGGCCGGGATAGGTATAACATCTAAAGTTTCACTCGGTGCTTTTGCTTTCGCTTTTTTAATTATAGGTGCTAATTTTTTAATGGTAGCCTGTGTCGGCGGACTGGAGGTGGAGAGCTCTGTCTTCGCTTCCTCAGTGCTCCGCTGAACCAGCTTATCCATTTTTGTATTTGAAGGCGTCTTAGGGGATGGGTTTACTCCCTCTGTCGATTTAGAAGGAGTTCTGATCATTTTATTTTATTTTATATTGACAATTTATTTATAATTAATGTATATAACTACTAGACTAATCGAACTTCTTAAAGAAACTGACTAGAAAAATTTTAAAGAAACTGACTTTTAGAAAAAAAATTTATTCCCAAGGTCACCAAAACCTATATGGTAAAAGAAAAAAGAGAGGGTGGGGGGGGGGTGCTTTTTTCCGATTTCCCGTTAGAAAATCGGGGAAATATCTATGGATCGGTGTTGGTAATGTATAAACGAGTAATTTAAGGCCAAATTTGGCAAAGAAATTTGAAATAAAAATTATTTTTACGAAATAAAAATCTTAAAATGAAAATCTTAACTTGTTAAGAATATTATATTTAAACTATGCAAATATGTTGGAATACCACTAAAAATAACTATACTAATAGAAATCAGGAGAAAAGAACCGAGTATGAGACATATTGGGAAAATTTTAAATTGCAATAAAGTATGGAAGAAATTGATCGCTTAGTAACCTCGGTTTACAACGATCAACAACTCGACAGCAAGGCCGATGCCCTAGCCCAACAGTTGGGTATCATCCTAGCCGGTGAGGATGTGCATATTTCCCGGCCGGTAAAGTGTGCTGAGCTTCGAGTTCTGGGCTTTGACGACTCAGTGACGCCAGAAGACCTAGCCGAAGCTGTCAGTAAGACGGGAGGATGCACCAAGGAGACGGTAAGGGTTGGCGAAATACGTCGCAACCGGTTTGGCGTAGGGTCGGCCTGGGTGAAATGCCCTGTATTGGCTGCCAAAAAGGTGAATGACGAGGGTAAAATAAAGGTTGGATTAGTGTTGGCACAAGCCAAACTACTGGAACCCCGACCCCAGCGTTGTTTCCGCTGCCACGAATTGGGGCAAGTGGCGGCAAAATGCACCGGCGGGGACGATCGTAGCAGCCAGTGCTACCGATGCGGCCAACCAGGGCACAAGCGTGGAGAATGCTCCGCCGCGCCGCACTGTCCGGTCTGCGAGAACGCGAAGAGACCAGCCAACCACGTTGTTGGCAGCGCAGCCTGCGCCCGGCCACCGGCTCGTAGCCGTCCTGCCAGGGCAGTCAACCCAAGGAGGTAACGGACTGGCAGCGCAATGACCCTTAAAGTGCTGCAAACAAACTTGAACAACTGTGCCAGGGCTCAAGACCTTTTAGCACAAAGCCTGGAGCACTGGTCCGCGAAGTTGGCGATACTGTCAGAGCCCTACTACATACCACCTAGGGACGATTGGGTCGGATGATGGAATTTGATTATGGTTCGAGGGTTAAGTATATTTTGGTTTATGATTTGGGTTCCTTTTCGAGTGTTATTGATTGTTATTGATTGGCTTCGATTACTGGATACCGATTCTTGCTGTACATGTTTGATTTTTTGGCTTTTCTCGTGGATTTTTGATTTTTCTTTCTGATTGGATTTGTTGTTGTTTTTGCGACGTTTCTCGCGTAGTTTGGGTGTGTTGCGTGTGTGTGCGGTTGGCGAATGAGTCATGGCCGACTCAGACGCCAACGCGGACACAGATGCGTCCATTGGGCGCAAGAGGACTGCTCCGCGTCCTCCGTTGGCGGGCTCTACTGGCTCGGAAACGGAGACGGATGAGCGAGTCCGCGCCAAGGAGAACAAGGCGCGTAGGGGTAGGCCCATTGGGTCAGGAAGTGGCACGGTTCTTACCCGCGCGCGCGCGAATCTGCGCAGGATGGAGGAGGAGGCCAGGGAGGCCGAATTTGAGCGCGTACTTGAAGCGCGCGCTTTTAGAAAGAAGAAGGGGGATAAGGCCGACAAGGCGGATAGGGCGGACCAGGCAGTGTTCGAGTTTGGCTCGGACCTGTCGACCTCCGAGAACCAGGAGGAGGGGATCTCTGCAAAAGATGTGCAGGGCCTGCGGGCAGAGGCGGGACGCAGTGTGACAGAGATCTTGCATGTTGCCAGGACCTCTGGCAACTTAAAGGGAGAATACGTCCGCCGTCTCAAGCTGGCTGCAGAGGCGTTGACGGGGATCGTAGATACTAGGAAGGTTGCTGCTGACAACGAGCGGCTGCGTCGGGAGGTCGAGAACCTCAAAGCGGAGGTGAGGGCGCACCGTCGCCAGTTCTCCGAGCTGAGGGCGAGTGCTCCGTCCTCCTCTCTGCAGGGGGATGCCTTGGAGGAGTTAAGGGCCTCCCTCATTTCCTCGGTTGGGGCCCTTATTGATGCCAAGTTGGCAGGGATTGAGGAGCGCCTGCTGCCGGCTAGGTCGCTTCGTCCGCCTCTGGCAGCGGACAAAAGGAGGGAGGCGGGTGCGCCAACGCCTGCGCCGAGAGAGCCTCGGGATAAGCCAGCGCCGGTAGCGGTTGTGGCGGGTGAGGACTCGGCGGCACGCAGGCGCCAGCCTATTAGAACTAGGACGGCAACACCGGCGCGCCCTAGGTCGCAGCCGGCGCCAGCAGCTCCTGTGGCGGGATCAGCTCCGCCGGCCCCTGTGGCGGGACCGAGTACTGCGGATGAGGGCACACGGGCAACGGTGGTCCGCAAAGGTAAAGGGAAGGGGAAAAAGTCCTCCCCCCCGGCTGCCCCGGCTGGTGCAAAGTCGGCGCCAAAGGCCCCTGTGGCGCAGAGGGCCCCTTCGGCGCCGACTAGGCCAAAGGTGTCGGCTCCGCCGCGCACAGCGGCTGTTATTATAACGCTCCAGCAGGAGGCGGCATCGAAAGGTGTCACCTACGCCAAGCTGCTGGAGCGTGCGCGGCTGGGGATAGACTTGTCCCAGTTGGGCATCACTGGGGGCCTGACGGTGAGGGTTGCGGCGACGGGGGCTCGGCTGCTGGAGTTGTCGCCCTCCGTGCCTTCGGAAGCGGCGGATAGGCTGGCGGACAAGCTCCGCCAGGTCCTCGACAGGGTGGCGACCATCGCTCGCCCCGCAAAAACGGGGGAGCTGAGAATCTGGGGCTTGGATGACTCGGTCACCAAGGAGGCGGTGGTCGAGGCAGTCGCAAGGGCGGGCGGCTGCGCATCCGAGTCCGTTTGGGTGAGCCGGGTTCACACTGGAAAGGCGGGGATGGGCACGGCTGTCGTAAGGTGCCCAGTTACGGCAGCCAAGAAGGTGGCCGACGCAAGCCGACTTCTGGTCGGGTGGTCGTCGGCCAAGGTCGAGGTTCTGGAGCAGCGCCCATTACGCTGCTTCAGATGCATGGGTCTGGGGCATACCCTACTTCGGTGCCCGTCGAGGGTAGAGCGGGGGCGCCTGTGTTTCCGGTGCGGCAGCGATGAGCACCATTCCGCTGCCTGCACCGCGAAGGCAGTCCGCTGCGCGGTCTGCGCAGATGCTGGGCGCCCCTCTGGGCATATGATGGGTGGGCGAGACTGCAACCCACCCATCATGAAAGGCAAGACGGCTCTAGGGACCGGAGCCGTCGTCAGTGCCGGAAGCCGCCAGGCTGCGGAAGCGCATATGTCGTCATAATGGGTGACCACAAGCGCTTCCTCCAAGGGAATGTTAACCACTCGGCCGGAGCGCAGGACCTTGTTGTTATGTCTCCGCTTACTTTGATTGTAAACGTGGTATAAATATCTATTACAACTTTCTTTTCACCTCTGAGAGTTACGTACGCCCGAATCTGTATCACGGAGAAATTCCAATATGTACTGATTTGTATTCAAAATGAGAAGCTCCGAATCACGCATAGGCGATGACAAAATGATAAAAGTGAAGACTTCTCTTTTACGGCGAAAGTGAAACAATAGAAATGACGACATGTCTGCAAGTGTTAATAGCCTAATATTGTGTGTGCTGTGGAAGTTATCGCGAAATAATTACTCAATTTTACATTGTCACCACCAACAACATTTTACATAAAGATGTTTCCTTAGTAATTGTTTTTTGCCGTAGTTCATTATTATTAACATAATATTTGTGGGATATACATATCTGAGTGATAAATGATTAATTTAGTTTAGATAAAAAATATGAATGGTAACAATTTTTGTTCTTCCTTTGACTTCATTTCTATTCAAAATTAAAGAAAATATAAATGAATGACTTCAACTTCTTTCCTAATAAATAATCTAGCAAGAAAAAAATGTTGTAATTTTAAAAATGATTATTTTTATCACTATATATTAAATATTAAAATATAAATATGTATGTAGAAAGATTGTAAGTACATTTTGAGACAAGTTCAAACTTGTATCATCGTACACGAGCTTTTGTTTTTGTTATGATTAGTTTAACACACACTTCCGAACGAATTGGTTTGTTTAGTTATGTTTCAGTTACTGTTACTCTTTCGTTGGTATACAGATTAAAAATTTGTGTTAGATATGAGTCCTAAAAAGTATAAATGCTTGACGATTGCTGAAAAGAAGAAATTAATCGACAAAGTAGAGGAAGGTGAGAAGAAAAGTGATGTTGCAAAAGAATTTAAGATTCCTCTGAGTACACTCTCTACCATAATAAAGCACAAGGAGAAAATTTATGCTGCTCAAACTGCTGGAGTACGGAAAAGAACTACGAGTACTAAAGGTGAATTTCCTCGTCTGGAAGAAAGCCTGGTCATTTGGGTAAGACAGTGTAGAGGACAAAAAGTGTTGTTCTTGTTAAAGGAAGAAAAGAAAACTTGTTAAAGGAAAAAGCATAAGAGTTCGCGTCTACTCTAGGCATCAAAAATTTTGCGGCAAGTGAAGGGTTTAAGCAATAATGTAGAAAGGGAGATCGAAGCTAAAAAAACACCGAGGTCCCGCTAAACCAGTCCCGCCAAAAGATATCTGGACTGATGGTATAGGCCATGATGAAAAAAGGTGCAGCACTAAAAATAGTAATGGTTGCTTTGTGTCATAACAAAAATCGGAATTGCTTTGCTCAATTTCATTCACAAATAATAAAGACATTCCTACACAAAAGAATAAAAATATAATATGACTATTTGTTTTATTCAAACTTACGTCTACAGCAATACATACACAGCAATACATAACAATACAAACGCATATTGTTGCTGTTTGAGTTTCATCTGTAACTGGAAACCGTGCATAAAATAACCGTTTTAAAAACTGGCAACACACACAGTCACTTGTCGCTCTGTCATCGTGTGCGTAACTGCAGCAAGTTTTGAAATCATCATTTAAAACTACTTAATTATTCAAGAGTTATATAGTATACTCCATTTAAAGTAATCCAAACTAGAGGAAAACAAAATATCAGTACCCGGGAACAGCAATAAGAAAAAAGTGACACGCACTGGATTTACGAGTAAGATTGCAGTTGCAGGTTAGTGCCATTTTGGTTTCCCAGCGCCTAAAATTATAAATTCATTATCAAGTACGGCAAAGCACGTACAGTTGCCAAAAGTATATATCGGCGTGACGCCGTTACTTAATACAGTGAGCATTTATAAAAATAAATAATAATAATTGAAAAGTTTTGTTCAGCATAGTACTTCCGATCAAAAGAGGGCGCTATATTATAGCTAATATGGCGGGAAAGCGGCCGACCGAGAGGAGGGTGGACGATGAGAAGACACACTCACTTTTGCTCGGGCATTTATCTGGTACGGACCACTGACTGTTCTTACCTGATCTAGCAGTTAAGCTTTTAAGATAGTCTTAAATAATTATATTGTTCATTTGTTGTTATTAATTAGTTCAATGAAAAGTGATTGGTAAAATTATAATAGTTTTAAGTAAAAGCACTTGTCATTTTGATCTTCTAGCTGATTTTAATAATATTTAAATTTATTAAAATTATTAATGAGCGAAAATAATGAGGTAAATGACGACAGCAACGCTGGCGTTTAGGATGAAAATGTGAGCTCTGTGATAACGGACTGGATGGTACATCTGGAAAATGAAGATGATAATCTGGGCAATGACCAAGATTATTTTGCGGCCGCGCCCGAAAACGTGTTTTTGGAGGATGAAGACGCAGATCACATTAAATCAGATCGTGATACCATTTTCGAAGAAAGTACAGGACCTAATACGCAGTCAGCGAACCTTTTGATGTTGATCAATGGTGATTACATTCCAGATCTTAACTTGTGTGGAGGAAACGCTTACGTTATCCACCAGTCCCAGGATCAACGAGCCAAAATGACGGCTGAATATTCTAAAAAGTCTTCTATCTTCTCCGAACTAATCAAATTTGAGAACACGAATGTCCAACACGCCATTACCCAAATCGACTCGGTTCCAAATATTCTGGATCATAAGAGAAGATCTTTCAACTGATGTTGATGACGTAGTGGAGGAAAAATTATTTCGGGAAAGCAGGAAATACTGTTTTTTCTATCCAGCTAGGATAAAAAGAAAGATAGTCTATAGACTATCTTTTTATCCTATTATCATACATGCGGCAAGCAAATATGTCTGTATGTTCAAAAAAAGTGTACAGGCAATGTGTGTTACGTACTGACGAGTAGGACCTTGAACATTTTTTTGTTTTTGCATATTTAGAAGTATTTATTACGTTTTAGTAAGAAGACTGTTAAGTTAATTGATTACAGAAAACTAATTTTTTTACAACCATAGAAAGGAGAACTATGGAGGCTCAAAGTCAATATGTCATTTTTTTTTATTTTCGAGGGTTATTTCTTAAACTTAAGAAAAAATGAATCTCATGTGAAGTTCCTGTTATATTTTATCATTAAATTGTAGAATGATAACTAAGTTATGTTTTGCATTCCAAATATATGACATAAAAAAATATATGCTAGATTTCATTGTTTAAGGTGATTTTTTTTAAATCTTCTTTTTGTGCAATATGGGTATCAAATTAAAAGGCTTATAACAAAGATTCCAAAAAAGAATAACATCGCTGTATTATTCATTTTAAAAAACAGTTTAGGTTATATAATGATTTAAAGTTGGTTAACAACCATTGTCGCTAATTTTCCTACTTAAAAATACTTAAAAAGCTGTTAATGAATATATTATATATTGTAAAAATAAAAAACCGACTGCATAAAATCTAACTAAAAAGATGAAAACAAGTTCACGAAGGAATATAGTATTACGAAGGAATATAATAGTACTTAATTATATATATATACTTAATTATATAATAGTACTTAATTATATATATCACCCTTCTACAAACTAAGGGTTAAAAGAAAATTGCTAAGTTAGAATAGCAGGGGATTTTTCTGTTAAGTTGAATAAAGATCTCGTAATCGTAAAATACCCTTTACCTAGGATAGAAGAGGTTTTCGCTAAGATTGGAGTCGGCGAGCTTTAGGTTAAACTTGATTTAAAAATGCGTAAATCAGTTTATCTTAGATGAGTCGTCTCAGGAACTTACTTACGGCTAATAATGCACATAAGGGGTTACTTAAATATACGCGTTTGGTTTACGGGCTAGCTCTAATAGTTTAGTTTAAGTTGGGCGGGTTAGTTTTTCAAAAATTGGAGACACTTTTAACAGGCATAGACGGAGTTAGTGTTTGGCTGGATGATATATGTATTACGGGGCCCGATAGAATCTCGCATATTAAAAGATTAAAAGAAATTCTAGGTAGGCTAAGCGATGCCGGTTTACGTCTTCAAAAGGAAAAATGCATTTTTTTTTTCAAGAAAGCGTCCTATACTTAGGCTATGTTATAAGTAAATCGGGATTAATGACAAGTTCGGATAAAGTTAAGGCCATATTAAGCGCCCCTGAACCAACTAACGTAGCCGAAGTAAAGCGGTTTCTGGGCGTAGTTAACTATTATAGAAATTTTATTCCCAATGCTTTAACATTACTTAATCCTCTACACGAGCTATTACGAAGCGATGTGCCATGGGAGTGGGAAGAGAGGCAACGGCAAGCTATGGCGGCCGTACGCCGCGAGTTGGCATCAAAACCTGTATTAGCGCACTTTGAGCCAACGGCCCAGCTCATACTAACAGTCGACGCAGGGCCGGCCGGTCTCGACGGCGTGCTAGCGCAGAGGGGAGAAGGCGACACACTTGAACGTCCTCTCGCGTATGCAATCTGGTTCTCTCACCTCTAGCGAGCAAAATTATAGTCAGATACAGAAGGAGGCGACCGCTATTATATTTGGTGTGAAAAGGTTCCATCAGTATTTATACGGTCGTAGTGAACCATTCATTTTAAAAACCGACCATGGGCTTTTAATTTCTATTTTTCGAAGTAAATCAGGTATACCGACAACAACGTTGACGCTTCAAAGGTACACTATTACATTATCGGCTTATAATTATGTAGTAAAATATGTGTCCGGTCATAATAACATAGTAGCTGATTTTTTTTCTTTTAATTTTTTTTTGTAATTTTATGTGCAGACAATTCAAACGATGCCGATGAAATAGATACCTACTCCGCGCTAAGTTTTTGAATGAATCATCGCCCGCTACTACGGTGAAGGAGATAACGCATGCGACGGAACTCGATTCAGTGATTTAAACAGTCATTAGGTACATGCAACGAGATAGGCCTCGCAAAATAATTTATAAGTTAGTTTTACCCTATTTTCAGTGCAAATCCTTCTTGCAGTACGAAAACGGTTGTCTTTTTAGAGGTCATAACATACTATTTTTATTTTATTTTATTTTTTTATTCAGGTAAAAACAGTCGTATACAAAAAATCTAAAACAGTTAGAATACAATTAGACCTATTTTACCCTAAATTATTACTGTTGTAATCTGTGGTAAATATTATAATCTTTATTATTCTACACATAGCGCCATCTATTTCCTCACTCCTACTGTACTGTACTTTTCCTGTCATGGTGTTGCGTATAAGTATTTCTGTGTTCGAAAGTTACAAAATAAATATATAAAATAGTACTGGTCTGTTTTAATATCTACATGATACATTACTTCAACATGGTAGCAGAGCGTAGTTGGTTAATAATTGAAATACAGCGAGATTAAAACAGACCACGTGGAAAGTAGTTCACGCCTCGTGTAAATTAGTGAAGAATAGACGCTTTATACGCGTCGGCATATCATCAGCAAAATGGCTAAACAAGCAAGGATTGAAGATATAACGATACCCATTTTTGATGGTGTAAATTATTCAAGTTGGAAGTTAAAGTTAGTAACGTTGAGAGAGAATAGAATTTGCCTAATTTGCTTGCCTAATCACTGCTTACTGCATCGAGAAACTTTGGCATGTCAAATCTCAAATAATAAATTGAAGCGTGTGATGAAAACGGTCATAAATATTATAAATTTTATTAGTGCGCGTGAACTTAACCATCGAAAATTTAAAGAACTTCTTGAAGAATTACAAGTTAATTATAGCGACGTTGTCTTGCATACTGCCGTCAGATGGTTAAGCAAAGGAAAAGTGCTAGAACGATTTTTTAATTTGAAATTTGAAATAATTCTATTTTTACAGCGAAGTGGGAAAGAATATTCCAACTTCAAAATGATGAATGGTGGGCACTTACGGCTTTTTTGACCGATATTACACAGAAGTTTAACAATCTTAATTTAGAATTGCAGGGACCTAACAAGATAATCGGACAAATGATGAATAAAATTTTCGCATTTGAAGCTAAACTGTAATTATACATAAGTGAGCTTGAAGCTAGAGACTTTTCTAATTTTCCAACTGTTGCTGCTCTGTGATGTGACAAATCTATTGACAATAGTGTCTATCAAGATATGGTCTCCTTTTTGAAGGAAATCTGTTAAATAGCAGAAATTCAAAAAAGATTTAATGACGTGAGAAATATTAGGAACTATTTCATTCTTGTAGAAAACCTTTGGCATTTTGAAAATGGTGATATGAAATTATTCAGCAAGTTTTGGATTTCTGAAACCACAATTGTTGAACGAAATTATCGAACTAAAATACGACACATAACTTAAAGCTCACTTCATCGAACATCGTGAAAAGCAGGAGTACATTGAATTCTGGAGAAATGTGCCTAGGAACTATAAATGTTTAAGAGACTGCGCACAATTTATTCTGACATACCTTCGACATTCGACATACCTCTGTGAGGCTTTATTTTCGAAAATGTCATTTTTTTTTAAATAAATATCGAAATCGCATTTCCACTCACTTAGAAGACACCATGAAGATTGCATTAAGTCCTAAAGACGCCAACATAGAAAAAATAATAAAAAAAAATACAACATCATAATTTGTGAAATGTTAACTATTTTTTATTGTTTAATTAAGCAACTTAAAATTAACGTTTTTCTTTCTAATAAAAATCTCAAATAAACATTTCTATTTTTATTTACATCCACTAGCACCCGCGTTGCTAGACTTTGCTGCTTAGTTGCTGACATATACAATATATACTGACAGATATACTGACAGTTGCTGACATATATAACAAGCTTGCGGCCCTCAGTATTATCTCACATTGTCCTGTGTGGCCCTTGACCAAAAAAGTGAGACGACCGCTGACTTATGTAGATGTAACTACAGCCTTTTTAAACGGTTTTTTGAAACAAACTATTTACATGTCATTACCTGAGGGTTTTGTGAACAAAAGTGGTGGAAAGGTTTTGAAATTAAAAAAGAGCCATCTATGGATTAAAACAATCTTCCCTTGCTTGGTATGACAGAGTTAAAGATTTACTTTGTAAAGCTGCTCCTCGTAAATGGAGAACAGCACCAAGACGAAAAAGGAAATCTATAATTATTGAAACTGACCACCAAATAAAAATGAAATAGAAATTAGAGAAGAAGAAATTCTAACGCAAACAGATATAGGCAAAAATAAAGTAAAGAAAAACTTTACAAGAGAGCTCTAGCAAAGGTGCAAATCAAATAAGTGTTTATTCTGAAAAGGAATCGACATTTAAAGACGAAAAAGATGATTATGAGGCGGTGGATCCCCAGAATTTTTTTCCATTGAAAAGAATGCCAAAATAAGGTAATTTTATAATCGTTGAATTGGAAATAAAAGAGAAACGAATTTATTATGTAGCTTAAGTTATTGGAGAACAGAAAAATGAGATAGAAGCGAGTTTTCTTAGAAGATCTTGTGGCGAAACACTAAAATAGTTATTATATGTTCTTTCGTTTGTCATGTATCGCAATCATCAATGTCCTCTTAAAGTATATAGTGTTAGAGCAGGAGTTTTATCAAAATCCATGAAAGATAACATTGTAGTATCAATTCCCACCATAAATGCTCAGTTTTCCATTTCTCCCAAAGTCAATGAGACCAAATGTATCTTTGGAGATGTAGTTCAGAGACTAGGAGGTTATCTCCTTTCTTTAGATACAGGAGGTGGTTATTGGAGAGGTCCATGGAATCAAAATCGTAGAAAAAGATCAAGTCATCAATTTAATTTAGATTTAACAACAAATAGATTCAAAAATTTTGTGGAAAGTAAAGACTCAATAAGATTTAAAAGAAGCACAATTCATTGGGAATTTAGTTCAAATTTAAAAACTACAACAGAATATGCTCAATTAAGATATGAACAGGATTTTGTAATTAGACAAATCAATAGAAATTTTGGTTTATTACAAAAGACTATTTGTGAATCACAATTATTGAAATGCTATTGATTTAGTTAAAGCCTATCATCAAATTCCCGTATTTGAAGAGGACATCGTAAAGACAGCCATCAGCACTCCTTTTGGCCTCTTTGAATTCCCCTTCATGACATTCGGGCTGCGCAACGCTGGTCAGACCTTTCAACGGTTTATCGATGAAGTCACACGAAGTCTTGATTTTTGTTTTCCTTATGTGGATGATATTCTCATCTATTCTAAAGACGATACCACCCACAAGGATCACCTACGTATTCTTTTTAGGCGTCTTCAGGAATACGGAGTAGTTATTAATTCAGGAAAATGTGTTTTCGGTGCCAGCGAGGTTGTGTTCCTAGGTTTTCTTATAAACGCTGAAGGTACTAAGCCACCTCAGGAGCGAATTCAAGGGTTGTTAGATTTTCCTCCTCCACAAACTGTTCAGGGTATGCGTAGATTTTTAGGAATGTTAAATTACTATCGCCGTTTTATTCCCCAAGCTTCTCATGTTCAAGCGCCACTTATAGAGGCTTTAGTTGCGTCTAATAGTAAAGGTTCAAAACCATATCCTTGGTCGCCTGAACTGTTAGAAAAATTTAAATTATGTAAAAAGAGCCTGTGTAAAGTGACTTTATTGCAACATCCAGCAAACGACGTTCCTATAGGGTTATTTACTGATGCATCTAGTATTCATATTGGATCTTGTCTTCAACAATTTGTTAATGGAAAATGGCATCCTTTGGCATTTTTTAGTAAAAAAATTAACTCCACAACAGTCGCAATGGTCAGCCTATTATCGTGAGCTTTTGGCAATTTATGAGAGCGTACAGCATTTTCGTTATATTTTAGAAACTCAGCATGTAACTATTTTTACTGATCATAAGCCCTTGCTATATGCATTCGTTCAACGCCGTGAAAAGCTTCCACCTCCACAGCTTAATCAACTTTCTTTCATAAGTCAATTCACCACCGATATTCAATATATTAAAGGTGATGACAACGTGGTTGCGGACGCAATGTCTCGCATTGAAGCGATTTCATTGGAACCAGATTACGAAGCGTTAGCAAAATCTCAGGAGGGTGATCTAGAGCTGTTAATGTTGCAAGAAAACGGTTTCAGCCTTCGGTTAGAAAAAGTAAGAGTCCCTGGTACTAACATTACGTTAACATGTGATGTTTCAATGGGAAAACCACGTCCTTTTGTGACAACTAATTTTCGCCGTGCTATATTTGAAAAACTACATAATTTGAGTCATCCTGGCGCTCGAGCAACAACTCGTTTGGTTACCGATCGGTTTGTTTGGCCGTCTGTGAAGAAAGATTGTCGCGCTTGGTCACGCGCTTGTCAGGCGTGTCAGCGCTGCAAGATTACCAGACACAATTTCACTCCGCTAGGTAATTTTGATATACCGACTGGTCGTTTTATGCATGTGCACATAGATATAATTGGGCCTCTTCCAATATGTGGCGATTATCCCTTATTAAAACGCTGGGAGCTATACTTCCCACATCTCAATTTGAAGTAAATCGTGTTTCATTTTTATATGCTATGTAGAGTCGATTGAAATTTAGTAGAGTCGATTGAAATCAAGGGACACTTCCAACTATACACACCGGCATATTTAGCGGAACATAAAATACAGGTTTGATATCAGTATCATATAAGGTTGCTGGCTGGTTTATACGTCATTTAATTTAAAAAGAAATATTTTCAAATTAAGAAAACAACTGAACATCACATTTTATGCAATTGTTTTAATTTTATTCAAATACACCTTATCTGGAGTGAACTTCGAGTATTTCTTCCTTCTGAGTTTGATTTAAAGTTTCATTGAAATACTGTTTTTTGTTAGTTTTTTTTTTAATCGCGTATCTTTTTGGAGTTGAGGACTGAATTATGCCTGACTTAGCCCCAACGGAGATTGCCAGGGCACTCGAAATGCGAAGAAATGGTCAAACCTACAGAGTGATATCCAGATATCTTCGTCGACCAGTTTCAACGATCCATGGCAGTATCCAACGGTTTCGGGAGACCGGTACTTATGTGAGAAGAGCAGGACAAGGCAGAAAAAGACGCACTTCTAGTAGGGATGATCGTTTCATTCGGCTTCGTGTACGTAGGAACCCCCGTTTGACAGCCGTCCAAGCCGACAAGAGTTAGAAGCAGTGCGGAGTGTAACCGTAAGTGAGCGTACGGTACGAAGAAGGTTCGAAGAAGCTGGTTTGGGTTTATTTGTGCCCGCCAAGGCTCCAAGGCTCGAGGTAAATCATCGTAGAAACAGGTAACTTTTGCTCAGGAACATCGACTTTGGAACGCGGACCAATGGAGTAAGGGGTATTGTTTAGGTTAACTTTAGCGTACCCGTATCAAATCGATGATCGAGGTCGATGAACATGCTTTACAACGAGCACGAAATTTTGAATCTACAATGATAATACAGACTACCAGTATGCTTTGCAGTGTTGAGGAAACAGTGCCCGCGTTAGAAAGTGTTGTAGATTTCAATAACGCAGATTCAGTAACCGATTAGAGATTAGCCGAAATTAAGAGGAAAACCGCTCCGCCAGTGAATTTGGAACGAGAGCGGCGACTCGTAGAGCTGGCCTGATATTTACTTTTCCCAGATGGTAAAAATGTACTTCATGAGGAAAGAAATATACCTATTACCCCATTAGATTACTTTCAGAGCTGAATAATGTCTAATGACAGACGTTTAGACCATAGAAACGATTATTTATTTTATGCTTTGTCTGAGACCTAGTTTGAGTGTTATCGAGCAAAGGCTAGTATTTCTGTGTCATGTAGAATGCGTCAAGCTCAGGGAGAACAAGCTGCACAAGGTCTTGTTGATAATATTCACCTGACTATGAAAAACATAAGAGGTTCAACATCATATTGGAGAAAATGTTGTTCGGAACTTATAGCGACTTTTTCATGCAATGATTTACATTGGCCCGATATGATCAAAGCGTTACTCATTGTAGATAATTATCAAGACATTAATAAAATTGACCAACTTACATTTGAAATGAAACTTAATTTAGTTCAAAAATATCCAATAGTAGTTGCCAGACAATTTTCAGTACGCACAAACGCGCTGATGAAATACGTTAAAGGCAATGATAACTGCTTAGGAGGCAAAATTGTAGATTATCGGCACCGAATTTAATTTCAAAATTGAGGTAGTCCACATCTCCCCACGTTAGTATGGTGTGAAGATCTTCCTAGCTTTTCCACCTCAGAAGGCACTGCAGTTATTGATAGTTGTTTCTTGTTCCTTAATTCCGTAAGAATCCTTAGTCTTACAACAAAAGCATTGGTAGAGAACGTACAAATTGATAAATACACTAGCACTTATAAGAATAGCACTAACCAATCCTATCGATTTGGTTTTCCTAGGGCACCTAGTGATAATACTGTTTGTTTAGGACCTGATGAAGCGCTAGTAGTGGTATTCCTATGTATTTTGTACGAACTGAACATTTTGGCATATTGAACCGTATGAACTAATCCCAACAAAAGGTATGGTCTCCATCATCAGACCTTTAATGGCACTTATAACCCATACGGATGCCCAAGTTCTCATCAATAGAAATGAATGAAGTCCAAACACAAGGTAACTACTGTAAAACGTTGAGGAGTTCCTTGACTGTCCTTTGTCTTCATCATCAGACCCCTAATGACAGTCACAACTAATCTAGGTGTAAGGTTCTCATCAATACAAATTAGTCTAGCCCAAACACCAGGTAATTTCTGTAAATCGTTGAGGAGTTCTCTCGACTGTCTTTCGGCTCCATCATCAGAGGGACTCCAGAACTCCTGTGCAACAAAAAAAGAATCATCAAAATCGGTACATAAACGACTAAGTTATCCAGGAATACATATATTTTTTTTATATACAATCGAATTGAGAACATCCTCCTTTTTTTGAAGTCGGGTAAAAATATATATTAATTCATATTAAATATGTATTGATACTTAAAAAATATTTTATGCTTCAACTTGCCTAGCAGCACACACAATAATATTGTCAATAAAGTGCATACTATTTAACTTTTTTATATTACAGGAGACAAAGAAAATGATGAAGACCAACAAATGTATTCGATTAGCGCAACGGATCCACCTCCAACTCGACCATCAGGAGTGAACAAAAGAAAAAAAGACAATGACGAGCAAAACCTTTTACAGAGGACTTTATGATTTTTGGAGAAGGGTAGAAGCACTAGAGACTTAGAGGTTCTGAAGGTCAAGAAAAATTATCATCTAGATAAAGGCTGGGCCACTAAACTGACAAAACTGGAGTCTACGCAAAGCCCTGTTGCAGAAAAGGCAATTAACAATATTTTATTTCAGGCACAACTTGGAAAATTGAACATGTACCATATACTTCATCGCCTTTGCTCCCTAAAGTTATTAGATCATTCTAGAGTAAACTTTATCCCATCACCTAGTCAATAACCAAGCACACAAGATTTCATTGGAGAAGGAGTTAAGTTGTATCTTAAATACAACTTAACTCCTTCGCCACATTCCATGTGAATAATACTATTATTATGAAACCTGCTCAGGCTTTGCCCAAGAACACAAATTAACATCAACCAATTGTAACTACCGGTGTTCCATCTCAAATAATATTAAGGCCTCCACTGACACAATTGCAACAGTATGAGTGTTTCACAACAATGTCTCAAGAAAATAACAATATTAATAATATATGTTCTAACGTTATAAGTTATAACAATTGAACCCAGTGAACACCAAAAGAAGATTTTTCTCAATTTATTCAATCCTATAAATAGGTGATACATTTGATTTGTATATATTAATAAAAACTATGAGATTGTAACTTTAAGTATTTGTTTTACTTCAAATCAAAATGGATTTATAGTGAATTACAATTAGATTAAAATTATTTAACTCAGCTTTTTCTCATGCAGTCTTTAATACATATCCAATAATCCAATTTTATCCATTTCTTGATTGCTTTTTTGTAGCAGATAAAATTAATTCAATACTCAATGCAACAACTTTTTTCTTTCTAACCATTATATAAAACATATGCACAGGAATCTAGATGATGAGCGACTAAATCAGATTATACAACAAAAAATGTTCATTAATATTGCATAGCGTGCAGGACCATAATATATTGAGGAACATTTTAACAATCTTGGATTGAAAATATTATTGTGTGCTAGCCTATGAAAATATAGCATGGTACTGGTACATAACATGTATATATGTATGTGGAAATTTTTGTTTCTAGTAAAAGCAATAATCCTTTAAAACCACTGTCACGAAATAATTAACTAAAATAAGAGTTTATACAGGTAATACTTACTGTTTGGCATCACGAACGTTATTTAAATATTTTTAAGATTGTAATCGATAATCGAACAGTTCATCAGTCATCTTACTTAGCATAATAACGGAAGATCTTAAATTAACGCCAGAAATATTCCGTTGAACGTATGATGACTATATTTTATTAGAATATTATGCAAAGAGCACATAAAACTTTAAATGATAAACTTAAAATATTATGTGATTTAAAAAAACTAAAAAGTAAGAACGTTGCCTGTTGCCTATTAACGCCGTCTCGGGCGTCTTCAGCAATATACTCTATGGGCGTCTTGTAGCAATATACTCTATGGGCGTCTCCTTCCCGGTCCCCATTGCACAGATTAAAATGGGATCAGGGATGTTAGTACTTAGTAGGGTTCTTACATAGGTACAGATGTCGCTAAATGCTGGTATATGAAAAAAAAGTTGGTACACACAATAAAATTTATCCCATAGGTGTTTTATAGATTTAAATAATGTACAGTATTTAATTAATAGATTTTATTATTCTTTATTTCTTATTATAATTTGAAGGATAGATTATTTAAGCCTATAAAAATAAAAATGAATGGCTAAATCTGTTGCTAAGCGCAAAAGTCGAAAACGGCTGGACCAGGTAGGTAGGTAGGGTCGGGTAGGTAATTTTTTTTTTAATCTGACATTTATATAGATTATGTGTACACTACGCAAGTCTGTTTAAGTAAGATATTTTTTATTTTATGTCATCAATTTTCTTTCAAAATTTGGATCTATTTCATAGACTCGTCGCGTTCATATTTCTCGATTGATAAAGTTATTAAAGTTACTCGATGGATCAAAAATAAATATCCATATGAACAGTAAATTTTTACAATAATCTATGTTGTAATAAGACTTACAGCAATAACTAATATATTTTTAAATAAAAGAAAAAAACATAATGTCCGATCAATGTAGAAAGTTGGTATTATTGCATATGTCAATTTCTATATGATACAAGATCCTGAAAAATGGTAATTGGTACGCTTGTCAAGAAATTGGTGTATTTTTTTTTCTTCATTGGCATATAGTTGTGAACAGACGCACTCCATTCTGCCAGTGTCACGTTTAGTGAGGAAGACACGAATGAAATTAAGCGGTAATTTTGAAATTTGGTAACTTTAATGTGGAATTAAAACTATAAATTAATGATCGGTCTACAAGAGTAACCTACAACAATAGTAAAATAATTACGTCATACAAAAACGAAAATGAAGTTGGTGTATCTAACGTCCCTGACATTTATATAGATTATAAATTTATTAGACAAGTCAGTTTTATTATGATATTTTTTACTGTATGTCATCAATTGATGGCAAAGTGATCTGTTTCATAGATTCGCTGTCATAATTCGCTCGATTAATTTTAATCTAAATACACTTACAGCAAGAACTAATATTCTTAAATAAAAGAAAAAACATTTTATTGAATGATCAATGTAGAAAGTTGGTATTATTGCGTACCAAAATAATTTTAAGTTGGTACATGGTACAAGACCCTGAAAAATGGTACGTATACCAATAAATTGGTACGTCTAACATCCCTCAATAAACTTAAATCTTAATAATGTAGACACAGATGACATAATACTATACAGATGAGTAATAAGTGCTAGTAATTTAAATATTATTCATCCATTACGTAAATTAAAACTTTTAAAATACCAAACGCTAGCTGGAAAAAACCAAAAGAGAATCATCAATCAAACTGAGCTTCAAAAACTAAAATTATTCCGTATAATAATATATGTATATATAAATATATAGTTACAGTGCATTTTTTTCAAATTATTATAATATACAGATAGACAAACATGAATTTGGAATAAAATTATACAGTATTTTTAAGTACCCCAATTACTTGTTAATAAAATTATTATTATTTGTAAATTATATTAAATTTTTCAACCCACTCTGTTCACTCTGTTTATAACTGCTAAATTCATATTTCATATCATTTGCATGTCCTACACTAACGCTATTTCGATAAGTGTTCGAACAATAATTGGCTGTTTACAAGTGGACACTTTTTCATCCAATCCCACATACAAGACCTTACTTCCATAATTTTTCCATAATTACCATAATTTAATATACATTGGACGACCATATTTTTCTAAGAAAAATTATAATTTTTATAGAACCGTAAAATTCCTATTATAATTAGCAATGTGTAGTAAATTTATTGTAATGGCAACTACACCATTAAATCGCAAAATAAATATTGTATCGCCATTGCAATAGATTTATATTTAATTGTTACGCCATCTAGTGTGCAATAGCATCAGGCTTTATAATAACGCCATCTAGTGCTTAGCTTAGTCTTTGTTAATATAATAGAAATTTGTTATATATAATATGTTAAAGAGAAATCCACAGTCGATACTGAGCTTGCCATTTAAACATTTAAGTCTAAAATTAAAAATATATTATTTAATAAAGCTTATTACTGCTACAGATATATTTTGCAGCGAATTTTACATATTAATACGAATATAATTTTGTTCAATAAATGCGGTAGATCCTCACGATCATCCTTATGTTAAAACGGGGTGCTGCAGTTACCATATTATTTATATAAGAACCATAATATATTTACTTATTTAAAAAAAAGGATATATTTTATTCTATTTTATGAATAAACTGCTTTGTAAATTGTGTCGGCGGCCAGTCTTCGCTTGATGACGTCAGTCTGTTAGCTCGCTATCCTTGACATATTCGTTTTAGAAAATATTATAATATTAACTTTCGCCACCGGTTTCGCTCGCACTCTACTATGATATAACCAAAATTATTTCACATA